GGTCCCGACTCCCTGTTGAAAACCATTCGACTACATTTAATGTGTATACAGACTCAAAAATACATCCTGTTGTTTCATTCACAGGTATTTTGATTACATGTAAATGGTGTTGTGTCATGTATCTGACAAATCTGGGTAGTTTCTTACCTCCTTGACTCGGAGTTTCCAAGAAGTTAAATTGACTTTTGAATTCACATCCAGCCTTCCTCCCTGGATGCTTTCCCCGTGACACCTAGAACACAAAAGCTGGCTGTCCGGGCCTAAACACTTTGAGCAAGAGTGCTCTCAGCCTTGGAAGCAGCAAGCTCCATGGTAATAAAGTCAAAACCAGCAGTGGCCTCTGCCTTCTTGTAGTTAACATGCCACCATGAGTGTCACCCATTGCATTCACTCTGCACCAGGACTTCCTGCAGAGTGGTGGCACTGGGATTAAGAATTGGATTTGTAAAGAACTGCTGCCTGGCTTAATCTGTGTTAGCACTGCTTCCCTTGGGTCATTTCCCTATTCAGAAGTCCTCCTGGCTGCTCAGTCTCTGCCTGGACCCCAGCACCAGGTTCCCTCCCTACCCCTACCCCAGCAGTCTTCACCTGCCTTCCCTCTCCGGCACTGTCCTTGCTGTCTCACCTGAACACCCGGCTGTGCCTGTCTAGGCAGCTGTGCTCACGTTGCTGTCTTTTCCCGACTCCTTTTCTGATCTCTTTTCAAAGACCCAGGGCAACTTGCACTGTCTCTGAGAGGTGTGAAAGACATACACTGAGGAAGGAAAAAGTCCGTGTGGCAAGCAGCAGGGGGCAAACACCTGAGGTCATATGTGGCCACAAGTGCTGTCCCTTGGCAGTAGCAGGCTCCAAGTTCGGAATGTGTGAGCTGCAAAGGAACGCTATGTGAGGCTGTCCAGAAGCTCATAGGCCCTCTGACTGCAAACCAGGCAACGAGTTTAGGAGCACCTGCCACCCCTCGCTGTTGACCACAGCATGTGGACCTGCTACAGGCTGGAGGTCTCTACCTTCCTGCCACTTTTGCAGCCAGGAGTAAGCAAGTGGGGGATACATGGACCCCACTGAATGGGACTTTGGGGCAGCCAGTCCCCCTGTAGTGCTCATTGCATCCTTCCTTCTTGAGGAGAACATGAATTTAATAGAGACAGTTCCTGCAGCCATCTTGCAATGTCGAAGGTGTGACAATCATCACTTATTTTTTGGCAGGGTGGGGGGAGAGGTTTTTGCTATAGGGCATGTGCGCACACCTGAACGACAGAGAGAGGCAGAACAGAAAGTAAGAAATCACCCCCCAGGGGGCATGGCCATGCCACAATCCCTTCTCCTCCATTCTCCTCTTGGGATCTTGGGCACACACGCACATGTACCCGGCATGAGTTTAAGCCACCGGGTCTGGGACTTGAACTGCGGTCGACTACATGGGAGTCCAGTGACATAGACATTACGCCAACTGCTGGTCCCGTGAGAATCATCTTAAAGTAAACCAAACAAAAAGAGAGAAGGACCAAGGGTCCTTACCACCCTGACACCACACAGCAGTCGGGCTGCTCCCCTCCGTGAGGCCTTTTTTTTTTTTTTTGAAGTGAGCTAATGAGCACATACATGGAGCCTGATATGCCAACAATCCTGATTCACACTGGAGACAAAAACAAGTATAGGAACAAGAGAAATCCAGAGGCCCAAGCAGGGAGCAGTTGCAAATGCCAAGGAGAAAGGTCAGTGCCAAGCAAGACTGTAGCCACCACCCTGCGTGCGAGGCCGGGCTCTCCCGCCAGGCTCCAGGGGAACTGGCTGCTGGTCACATTACCCAGAGGGAACTTCATCCTGGGAAGTGGACAATTTCCAGAATTTGTATACAAAACCAGAATTGAGTTCCAAGAAAATAAAATCACACTTATCGGAACCAGATGTGGCCCAAGGTCAAAGCCGTGTGAGTGGTGAAAGGCGCTTGATGCCAAGTTCTCAGGCCCCTCCTGCCCGGAGTGAGGACTAGCCCAGAGACCTGGACGAGGATTGCACGTGGACAGATGACAAGCAGCTTCAGCCAAGCTGAGGGGCGAGACTGGACACTGAGGCAAGGCCACAAGAGCAGCCTCCCTCCCATCCCTCTGGGATAGTGAGGAGCCAGATCCTCACAAAGAGACAAACCCACAGAGTCTCATCCCATGAGAAGATCCCCCAACTACCACGCCCATCTGACCTCTCTCCTTAGAGAGGGCTGAGACAGAGGAGAGACAGCAAGGAGCCACCCATTGTTTAGGGAGAGGAATCTGAAGGGGGTCCTGAGGACAGGACACCCACGGCGTCTCCATCCATGTATCTGTGGGGACTTCCTGATGCTGATGCCGGTGAGGCTCAATTCCCCCAAAGGCAGCTGAGCCTTTTCTGAATGTGAATTACGATGTTTCCACTGCCCATAATTTGACACCCTATTAAAATAGTGCTGTGGGGCCAGGAGATAGTGCAGCAGTAGCACAACTGGACCCACATGGGAAAAGTCCTGGGTTCATGTCCTGGAACCTCCTTAGGCACTCCAGGAGGGCTGACCCAGGTGGGCTGAGACTGGAGGTGGACCACTGCGTGAAGACCCCATTGAAGATGTCTCTCTCTTTCTCTCTCTCTCCCTCTCTCTCGAAAATAAACATCAAAATAGTGTTTCAAGCTGAATATTTGTACCCTCTCCAAAATAATCAGGTCTTAAAGCCTAGCTGCCAGTGCGAAGGCATTTAGCGGTGAGAGCTTTGGGATGCAGTTAGGTCACAAGTTAGGTCATCTTTATGGATGGGGATAAAAGATGCCCATGGTTCCCCTCATGCTTCCACCACGTCAGGACACAGCGATGGCCATCCAGAACCAGGAGGTAGGCCTCACCCGGAGTCTGCTGGTGCCCTGGTCTTGGTCTTCCCAGCCTCCAGAGCAGTGAGCAATCCACTTCTGTTCATTGTCTACGCTAGCTTATCTATGGTGTTTTTGTTTTTAACAGCCCAGACTTAGAATGGACTAAGACAAATGGCTTAAACATGAAGGGCATTTATTTTTCACCTCAGCAAGAGGCCTCTAGATAGTTTGATTCAGATGTGGCCAGTCCTGCAGGACGACAAGTCACCAGCGGTGTAGGCCACTATGCCGAGCTTACTGAGGGTCTGTATCCCCTGGTTTGCAGCTTCATGGCTGTAAGACCTCCCCTGGCTTCTCATTGGCCAGAACGAGGTCATATGCCCTGGCTACTGAAGAAAATCCCAACATAAATACTCGACATTTTTTCAAGTTTTGTATGAGAAGTGGCTTCTTCCAACAAAGATGACTGGACATGTGTGCCAGGTAGACCCCAGTGGAGTCTGCCACGGGGACAGTAGGCACTGGTCTGGAAAGAAGGGAGGAATGGCAGTCATTTGTGGCCCTGGAAACTGCCCAGAGCCCTGAGTCAGGAAAATCTACTCACATGCTGAAAGAAAGTGGGATGGAGTCTGTTTTATTCTTTACCCAATCTTGAAGAAATGATCAGTCAGGTGTGCTCCGCTCTCACTGACCAACAGGTAGTCTTGCAGTCTTGGCACTGAAGTGTTTTCAGCTGTGATAAGTCGCTCAGAACCTCCCATCAGCCCCCTCGCACCATCCTCCATGAGATCACCCAGCAGGGGTGGTCTGACCAGACTGCCGCCGTAGTCCCTCCCACGCAGTGACCCAAACTACTCTGTCCTGCCCCCTGAATCTCAAAGGCGTGGAAATGCAGGACATGACTGAGTTACAGGATTCAGACATGGGTGTCCTTTAGGTACCCAACGCCGTGTCCTTCTGGCTTCCAGGATCTTTGGTGTATTGTTCAGGTCTTTAAACCACCCAGAATAACTTAAATAAACTCCTGTCCAGGTTAGGGTCAGCCAAATTGCCATTGCTTGCGGTCAAAGAGCACTGGCTGTCACAGACGGAATACCACCAGTGGCTCCTGCTGGCCGGGGAGCCAAAATGGGTATGACTCCTATTTTTTAAAAACAGTTCTAATTCTAGCCACTCGAAGGGTTTTTTAAAGTCAATTTTTGAACTATTGTTCTGTTATTCAGGCCACATTTGTACCATTCTCCCCATCCAGGTGAGAAACAAAGGGCCTACTCGAGGCCTTCTTGAGATAAACAGCCCGGACTCAGCCTGTGCGTCTGCCTGATTCTCGGGAAATGGCGATGAACCCCGTCTCGCAACCCTCTGCATCCGGTGCGAGAAAATTGCCTAACGAACAACGCTGAACCTCCTTCTGTCCCTGAAGTAGAAGAACGCGTGCATTGTATCGGGGCACTCAGGGTTGTGATTATTTGCCTGCTTCTCTCACGTCCCCCAAGAGATCTGGCCAAACAGTATCTCTCAGCTGTGAAAAACAAAACAGAAAGCAATTACTATGAGGGGCATTAAACTTGAATCTTAGCTTTTTAAATGACACTGAAGTCTTTGCTCCAAAAAGGTCTTCAATCAGGCACTTGCTCTGAGCTACGGAAGAAGCGGAGGGTGCCTGGCGGGGCAGGAGTTAGGAGGTAAGGGCTGTAGGAGGCGGCGGGCCCATTGAGGTGACAGTATTTCATTACCCTGCATCGAACTAATGCACCATTATAATGACCTATCATGAGGAGAGTGCTTCACTCAGACCAATAGCCCACGAAGTATCAGCCTAGAAACCAACGCCGGGCTGGGCTCTGAGCACCGAGAGCGTGCTGCCGGGCCACACCACGGCCTGGGGACACCTTGCTCCTGCAATCAGCAATCCATGCCGCTGCCGTGCGAGGCGAACCTGGGAGACACTTGTGTGACGGCATGCTGTCATGTGAAGGCTTGGTGGCCACTCAGGCACGGTGCTGCCCTGACATCTGCATGGTATATTATCCTACTATAGCCACTCCACTCAGGGCCAATTACAAAGGGTTTCTTAGCAACCAAGACAATATTATTGTGCAGTCAGAGGAAAAGCACCAGATTAGCAGAAAAGCCCGATTCCAAGTTCTGAATCAAGACTTCCGGCCAAACACATGCTCTGCCCTTGACTCAAAGGGGTCTCCACCGCCAACACCCCTCCCGGGGCTTTCCTCCCTGGCCACAGCATTGCTATCCCCACCCTATCTCTCTGTGAGTGGGTGAGTGTCCATGAGGCACCAGCTCCAGGGCTGGGAAGAGCTCAGGCTCGGAAGTAGCAGGCGGGTGGAGGAGGCCCAAAAGGAACTGTCCCCAGAGGACCGATGACACGCTGCAGTCACAGTGCGGTCTGCAGGGCCCAGATCAGCCGCGGGACCCCAGGCCTCCTAGGACTTGCCCTGTATAGAGGCCCTTCCCACTGTGCTGCTTGACATCCTTGTGGTGTGTAACAGGACGTCCCCCAGCTCTGCTCTTTGGACAGCCTGAATCCCCCACCCCCAGAACTGGCAGCCTCCTTTACCCTGGGGGAAGTTTGCTGGGACTGAGTTTGGGGATGACTGGTTCTGGGAGTGAGGGGACATAGCCCTGCACCAGGGCCTATGGAGGCTCAGGGTGGACTAAGAGAATCCTCATTCCCCTCCCCCTGTCTGTCACTCTAGCCTTGAGGGGGTCCTCTTTCCTGAACCCCAACTTGAGTAAGACGTCCCTCCCACACGCCTTCAGGGAAAGCTGTGTGTTTGATACTGTTGCTGTAGTAGCACAGACCACACTGCTGTCTGCTGGGAACACGGGCTGGCCCGTGGCACAGCAGGTAAGCACTGTCCACAGAGAGCCGGGTCCCACATGGCTGACGGCAGTCGGAATCCAGCCCTGGCAGCTTAAAAAACACACAGTGCACGTGTATGTGCATGCAAATCTTGACAGACTAGAGAGAGAGGAAACAGGCTTGTGGCATGACCACACTCCATTGGGAGATGCTCTCTCTCTCTCTCTCTCGTGAGTGCACGTGCTCAATGGTGATAAAGAAAATACCCAGAATTTCCACTTTGTGGGAATGACACCTTGCCTCGTACCTACTTTATCCCTTCTGTATGATACAATGGCTGGCAGGAAAGGAGGGGGGAAAAGATGAGAGAAATTCCATCTGCCTCACACACAGCAGTTTTGGGGACACACTAGTGTCCTTGCCCTTCGAGAGCGCACAGTCTGGGAGAAGAAGGTGAGGCTGAGGGTGGAGGTGAGGCTCCGGGGCAGGAGGGGGTTCTCGGCAACAGTGAGCGGTCTTTGGATGTGCTCACAGGCTGGGCAGAGGAACCACAGTCTCCCGAGGAGCAGCCCTCGGCATGCAGCGCTTTCC